TCTTTAGGGAAGATTTGTTACTGAAAACTATAAATTCAGAAGCCTACCCATTTGCATGGTATCTGCTAATAGTCCTGGAGGGTAAGGATTGAACATCTCCCATGAGGTCTCACATGTATTGTTTTGATGAATTTACCAAAGTTCAAGGTATAGCTTTTGACAGACACTGCATGCTTGGAAGTCAGATTTGACAATACGAGCAGCAGCACAGATCCATTTCTCAGTGGCATGTGCCCCATCGCCGCCTCCTCCTCACTCTCTGGACTTCAATCTTCTGACCTTTCTTGTTATTTCTCCCACATGCTGAGCATGCCCAGCTTCAGGGCTTTGGTATGTGCTGCTTTCCAGATGTTCACACATCTCTCTCTGTCTTCATGTCTCTGCTTAAATGTCCCCACATGAGGGCAGCTTTCCTTGACCATTCTATATAAGAAAACAACCTATCCTGTCTTCACATTATGTAGGATTGCCCAATATAGCAAATAAAAATATAAAATGTACAATTAAATTTGAATGTCTAATAACAAAAATATTTTTAGTATAAGTATACCCCATGCAATATTTGGAACATACTTAAACTAAAAAATGTTCATTATTTAGCTGATCTTCAAGTTTAATTGGGTGTCCTGTATTTCGTATTGCAACCTTACTAGCATGCCCATACTCTGTGAGGCCTGATACAATGGTAGCTTGTATTAAAGAGGTGACAAAAAAGATTGAAATGAGAAAGAATTGAGATATAAGAATCGACAGGACGTGATAATGGATTGAATGCAGGGAGGAGCGAGAATTGGCTTGCTTAGTAAAACTTTAGTTTACTGAAATGAATCCCACTAGAGGAAGAAAAGATTTGGCTAGGAGTAAATAAATCTGCGGTCAGAGAGGAGGAGTTTGAAATGTCAAGTTTGAGAAGCCATTAAAAAATTTAAAAGAAGTTATTGAATAGTCAGTTAGAAATATGGGTATGAAACTCAAAGAGAGGTCCGGGCTGTGAAGTAAATTTGGGACCGATTGACATATAAGTCATAATTAAAGCCATGGGAATGAATGAGAGTACATAAGCAATGTGATGAGAAGAGGAGGACTATCCCCTGAGAAATTACACCTCTTGTCCATTTGTTTCCTGTTTCGTTTTTCCTATTCATATCCTCAGGAGTATACATATTATGAAATTATTACTACCTGTAAAATTACAAGTAAAATCTGTCTTGTTCTGTAGATGCTCTATTTATCATTCTTTTTTTCCTAACATTATTAAGGAAATATTAACAGTATTAAGGAAAATTGTTTTCTTTACCTTAAGTGACAAAACTCATGACAGCATTTGAGTCAGTGAAGATGAAGAGCAGCAATTTACCACAGATATAGAAATGGTTTGTTTTCCTTTCATAAACAGATCAAAATAAGAGCTTTTGGGTGTTTCACATTTTTTTTTAAAAAAAAGGTTAAAACACACTTCCTGCTGGACTGAGGGGAAGAACACCTTTTCATTTTATTGTTACTAGTTGCCCTCACGCCCTCCTGTTCACATTGTACTTTGACAATATCTCTGATAAGGGACTATGGAGTATTCTAGGTTGGGACAAAAACACTGGTTAACAAAATGGGTAAAGCACACTGGACCAGAATATAACAAAAATAGTATAGAAAAGTGACCAAAAAAGGGGTGGGGGGGAGTGCAAAGACATTTTAACAGAAAGGTCACAAAAGGCCACAGAAATTTCACTGATTTTTTTTGTATCCAAAGCAGCCATATCTTCACTTAACAAGCTTTCCTCCACTTAGGACTTACAAAATACCTTTGTCAGTAGTAGGATGCTTACATAAGATCATATTAAACATGGAATTCTTGAAAACACAAAATAAATTTCTCTATATGACAGTGTACTTTCTACTCTGAATTTCAGAGTGTGATGTTTGCCAATTAGTAAAAGCCAGATTTAATAATGGATTTCCTTGTAATTAATAGAAAACTAGTTTCAAGGGGTTTATGTGATAGTTTGAGGCCCAAATTTATAATCAATTCAATCTATATACTTAACTTAAAGTTATACCATAAATAAAAGAAATATTATAATTTAACTTGCATTCTTTCATCTCTTTATTCAGTCTTATCTTTTTGTTTTGTTTTGTATTTTGCTGCTTTTCCTTACTCAAGTTTTTTTTTTTATTATTACTTTTGGCAATAATTCAATACTTGGTCTTAGAGCAGATTAAGAAAAGGAAAAAGAGGAACTTTTAATTATTTGAAACATGAGTTTCTATCATTGAAGAAAGTTTTAAGTAACTGATTAAAGTAAGTTTTGAGATGATTTACATGATGTATAATTTTTCATACAATTCTCTTCCCCACCCTCTTTTGACAACTGAGCTGAAACTGCTACATTCAAATAGGATTTCTGCAGCATGAAAATATGCAAATATGCCTTATCTCATAATTTGAACAGTAAAATTGATGAAAAATATTAAATGAATTCTTAATAGCATCACGATTTTAATATTCAAGTTGTTATTGAATAGCTCCATATTACTCTTAAATTTTGTCCCAACTGGGACAATATTCCTAGTAATCGTCAAACACACCACAGACGTAAGAAAAGCAATTAAAAGACTCAATTTATCCTTCATGTATTTAGGTTTAACAGTAGACTGTTGACAACTTCACAGACTTCAGAGCTGAAACCTTAGCCTCTCTCTCAGATTGGTTATATTTTATTTTTAGATGTAATCACTTCCCTCCGGTAAATGGTTGGTGACCACACACACAGGTCTGCACATGAGGAAACTAAAAACGGGAACCTTGTGCTGTGAATCAGCTACACGAGACACAAGAAGAGCCCCCTATCAGGCCATGCCTAGCGTGTCATTTTCTTCAATAATCCTATGACAGTGCTGTGCTGACATTTTAATAAATGCAAATGATACCTGAAGTTAAGCAACGGCCACTGCATGTTCAGTATGTGTTCTTTCATGAGCACCTTCTACCAAATGGCATAATAAAAATCAACTCTTCATTTTGTTCTTAATTTCCTTTTAGTGCTTTATGTTATGTGGACCATGTTAGAGTTCAGATTAATTTTGAATTCACACTCCTAAGAAACTTTTTCAGAAAGATTAATTTAGTAAAGTAAATTGGGCAAGAATACATACATTTTGGTAGTCTTACATACAATATAACTTGATTAAAGAACTGAGATACCAAAGCCAGAAAAGCAAAACATTCAGGGGAATCCCAAACTGGGAAAGTTTCAGTTTTGCAAGATGATTATGTTCCAGAGATCTGGTGTACCACACTGTGCCTGTAGTTAACAGCACTGTATTAAACTCTTAGAAATTTATTAAGAGGGTAGATCAAATGTTAAGTGTTCTTACTACAATAAAGAAAATATTATAAAAGGCAAAAAAAAAAAAAAAGCCAAAAAAAAATAAAATAAAAGGAACCTGGTAGCATAAGATGCAAGACAACCAGCTGAGGAAAAAGAAAAGAAAAAAGAAATGTCAGTCAATTATGCCAAAGGTGAATGTTTCTCCACGTGTTTTCCTCAGACATGATGCATTAGATTTACCTGGGGAGCTTGTTAAAGATGTAAATGACTGAATTTCACCCCAGCCTGTCCTGCAAGCTGAGGGTTGGGAATCAATAACCCCCGATGACTCTTATACTATAATTGGAAAACCATTTATGTCGATCTTTCAAATCATTATTATCAAGAACTAGAATGTGCCAAAAAACTGTGTCCTACTTAGTCAAAGGTTCATTTTCTTTGCTTATCAAAAAAAGTCCTATTCCCCCTAATTAAGCTGCAAATTGCATTACCTACTATGTCTTTTAAAAGGAAGAGACATAAAGAAATTCAGAAGAGTAGCAACATTTTCAAAATAAACTCCCCTGCCCTATCCTGTCCTATATTTCTTTTTGCCATAAGTCACTCATGATTTAATACTCACTGAAGAAAGTTTTCTCCTCAAAAGTAAGACATCCTCAGTATATCATTTATATAGCGGTAAAATATTCAAACTTTCATGTGGATTATTTTAGGAAATGTACCTCCTGCCAAGTTATTAAAAAATCATAAACACATAACACTCTGAGAGACTAAGATCTGTTATTTCTTTGTGAGATTGTTTTTATTTTATGTGTACTTCAAATTCAAAAGTTAGCAAAACTTATTACAATATAGTCAAAAGAATAAACAGAATAAGACTCACAGACTCAGAATATATCATCGTATCTGACCATTGTCAGAATATATCATATGTGAACTTTTGCATAGAAGGAGAGTTGAAGTATCTTTGCTTAGCAAATAGTTTCTTCAGTGTATCTAGTTCAACTCTTGAATTTTAAGGTACACCTAGATCAGTAACTTACACATACTCAATGTTCAAGAGAAGTCTTTCAAATTAGCCACATAATCATTTATAAAAATTAGAGGTGAAAGTAATTGTTTCAAATTGCCTTCAAGACCCTTGGAAATTTTATGAAGTTAATAATTACAAATAAATATTATGCATTCAGTTCAAAAAGTGCTCTAATGACTGTTAATCTTTTCATCTGAGATACTACAAAATTGATACATAATTAAACCACATTTCCTTTTATATCTCCTATTCTGTTTTTCACTTTTCTCTAATTAAGATTAGATATGTCTCCAGTTACTCCTAATTAGTGAGGGGTTTCTATAGTTATAATTTAAATAACTTGAATAACTTATAACTTAAAGAGGAAAGGAAGAAATATACAGAGAGGAACAAAAATATATTTATATTTATAAATATCAATGTGAGAAAGGAAAGGCTAGACTAGTAGAGTATGTATATAAAAAATGAGGTAATTTTAGAAATTCTCAATGTGCAACATGAAGGTCATGGGGGAAACAATGAATAATTTATTTTAGTGGATTTTATCTGCAGCCTCTTCAACTTTAACAAGTTCATTTTCATGTTTTTTAAAAATAATTTAACATTTGGTGACTGGAAAAAGAGGTGGCCTGGACAGATACCTGGCTTATCCCTGACAGTCACGGAACTGGAAGCAGGAAGCAGGAACACTGCCACCCAGAGCCAGAGTTTCCAAGAGCCAGCATGCCTCATTGTGCCTCGAAACCATGTGAACAACTGACCACAGATCTGCAACAGAACAAAATATTTAAATTAAGCTTATTATACAATTCTTTTCATAAGTATTTCCAGAATATCCTCATCACCAAAGAGAATACATAGATTTTTACATTACATATAATTATATACAGACAGTTGTCGCTTGATATCCATGGGGTATTGGTTCCAGGACCCCTGAGGATAACAAAATCTTCGAATGTTCAAGTCCTTATATAAAATGGTATAGTATTTGCATACAATCTACATTTACATATAGCTAAAACAGAGTATGCCTACACATCACTTCATTTACATGAATTAAGCATAGGTGCTCAGCGAGAGGCAAATTCAAATTTTGCTTTTAGGAACTTTCTAAGATTTCTTTTCCGAATATTTTAAATCCAAAATTGGTTGAATTTGTGGATGTGAAACCTGGAGTTACTGAATGCTGACTATAATTGGATATTGATTATATATGTAGTTATATATATAACAATATACACTGAATGTATTTTCAGATTAGTTCCTAATTAATTATCAATACCCATATAGCCTCTTATCACTTAAATTTTCTCTTCTTTTATATTTTTTAAAGACATACCACTTACAATGATTTGTCTACATATGTATATAAGCATTTTGAAGATATAAATCAAAAGCAAATGAATTGCAAAAAGGTAATATTTTATAAATATATACCCAGTGGGGTGCTGGTAATTGTTTAAAAACATGCACTCAGAAAAATAAAAAAAGAAAACATTTGTAAAAACATTTTATGCTGACTCCAGTACTTCACTGTACATAATTCATTTTCATGAGACATATCTTAAAATTACAAAAAAACACATTGTTTATCAAAATTCAATGAGGAAAACAAAAAATAACTCTAGATATTTCTAGCAGAAATACAGAGAAATAAGTGCTTACAAAATTGTTGCAAGTGCTAGAGAAATAAAAGTCAAGAAAGAATATTACCCCCAAATCAGAAAATTCCAGGGGACTACTGATGAACCCAGAGCTGCCTATACTTCTGAATCCAGAGAATGAGAATGGAACATGAAGATATATACAGAAATATGTATACATATACGTACACATAATTTCAAATCCTGGCAAAATACACATAAAATTTACTATTGTCTATTTCAGTGCCATTAAATACCTTCACATGAATGTGTAATCATCACTATCCATAACTTTTCATCTTGCAAAACTGAAACTCTGTACCTATTAAATAATAAGTTCTTGTTTCTCAGCCCCCCGCCAACCCCAGCAACCACCACTTTACTTTGTCTTTATGAATCTGACTACTCTAGGTACCTAATGTAAGTGGAATCATATAGTACTTAACCTTTTGTGACTTTATTTCACTTAGCATAATGTCTTCAAGGTTCATTCATGTTATAGCATGTGTTACAATTTCTTTCCCTTTTAAGGCTAAATAAGATTATACTGTATATATATATATAGCAATTTTGTTTATCCGTTCATTCTCTGATGGACATTTGGTTGCTCCCACCTTTTGGCTATTGTGAATAATGCTGCTATTAACATGTACAAATATCTGTTCAAGTCCCTGCTTTCAATTCTTTTGAGTGCATACCCGGAAATGGAATTACCAGATCACATTATAATTCTATTTTTAATATTCTGAGGAATCACCATACTGTTTTCCACAGCAGCTGAACCATTTTTTATTCCCACCAACAATAAACAATGGTTCCAATTTCTCCACATTCACATCATCACTTTTTTTTTTTCTAATAGCAGCCCTCGCAATGGATGTGAGATGGTATCTGATTGTGGTTTTGACTTTCATTTCCCTAAGGATTAGTGATGTTGAGCACCTTCATGTGTTTATTAGCGATTTTTATATCTTCTTTGGAGAAATGTTTATTTAAATCCTTGCCCACTTTTCAATCTGTTTTTTTTTTTTTTTTTTTTTTTTTGCTGTTGAGTTGCAGGAGTTTTTACACATTCTGGTTATCAACCCCTTATCAGACATATGATTTGCAAATATTTTCTTCCATGTTGCAGATTACCTTTTTACTCTGTTGATTGTGTCTTTTGCTGCATTTATTTTTTTTTTGTAGTCCAAATTATCTATTGTTTTCTTTTGTCGACTGTTCTTTTGGTGTCATATACAATTATTTATATTTTTAATTCTATTTTCTCTTCTCAATAATTTTCCACATTTTGGCTTAACTGATCTCATTACATTTTCTAGAAACTTAACCATGTTGTTATTGGTTTAAATAATCACTGCTACTGGAGTAATTACTGCACATGTGAAGAGTAATTTTTCATTCTATTTAAAGAATAAAAAATATATGCAACGCCTACCTCACCTGAGCCAATTAGTATATTTAGCATTAATGTGTTACTTCCCATATTGTCTTTCTGAACGTATACTACTTTATAGGTATTAAAGTAAAAAATTTAGTACATAGAATCCTAGTAATAGAAAATTTAAACATTACTTAAATTAATTTTTATAATGAAATAACTAACATGGAAATAAATTGCAAGTAAAAATATAATGGCTCCCTCAGTGTATTTGACAATTTCAGTATTATTAGAATAGCTACTCTAAAAGTTCTAAATATGCAAATAATATTATATCATATATTTGCCACCATTCGAAGTTTACTTGAGTCAAATATAAAAGAGCCATCATATCAATGCCTAAATGTTGTCAATAGACACTCTTTAGAAAACTAAAGCCACCATCTTTGGTATTCTGTATGTGCCAAACATTGTAAGATCAGCATTTTAAAGTAATTTCAAAATTTTAGGTATTTGTGGATGAACAGCTAGAAGCAGCAACTGCAATATTAAAACCATATGTGTGGTTCTAAATATCAAACAGCTGGTTTTATGCCTTATTTCTTTTGAACTCGCTCATCTAGACATAGTCCTAATCCTTATATGACTTTGCAAATTTATCCTATTATTTAACTGTTAAAGCAATTAATTCTTTGTCAATGAAATAAACTCACAAATATTGATTTAACTTCCAGAGACATCCTTGATCGTTTGCATTTTTAACCAAAGTGATTTTTATTAGTTCATAAATTAGTAGTGTGGTATAGTGGTTAAAACCATGGTTTTATGTCTGGTCTCTGTCTCATGTATTTTCACTAAGCCTTCATTTATTCACTTAAAAACTGGGAATAGTATTGGAAATAAATTATTTAATACTAGGAAAGAGTAGAGGGGCTTGAACACAGTAATGTTCAAGAAAAGTACCTGCTATTATAAATGTTTATTGTACATAGTCATAAATAATTAGTAAAAAATTAGTTATATTTATCTCCTCAGCCTGAGATTAATTTTGATATAGGAACAATGGAGAAGTGCTAAAGCGTCCTAAAAATTTATGTTCATTGAAGTTGTGGCTCTTGTTCCAGCAACAAAGAACCAGAGAGCTATACGGCCACAAGCATGTGTGAATTCATTTTGAGGTCTCCCAAGTATTTCCTTGAACCAGAGGATAATCATACTTGGCTTCAACCTCATTTATCCAAAAGGTATGAAGAATAACATGTTATGGTTAGTTGACTAAATGTTCTAGTTACTAAAGAATTGCCATTCCACCACTCCACTGAAGTGTCTATGGTAAAGTTCGGCAAGATCTTGAAAGAAGAATCCTTTTCTGTCCCCAGCTAATTCAACTGTTGGTGGCATTTCTAATAGCTGACCACTCCCTCTTCCTTGAAACCCTTTCTCATTTGCCTCTGCCCTCGTACTCTCTGGGATTTTCTTCTAAATCCCCATCTCAGATCTTTTCTCTACCTGATTTTTTAACACTGGGATCTGTGGGTCCTCTTCTCCTATCTCTTTACAATGCCCCTCTAGGTGAATTCAACATTCTCTTGGCTTTAAATAGTATGTCAGATGATGAATCTAAAATTTATATTTCCAGTCCAGTCCTCCTCTCTGAACTTTTTGTATCCAGCTGCCTACTCGATATTCCCTCTCAGATATTTTACAGAAATCTATAGCTATCATACAAATTAAACACTTGATTTGCAACCATAATTTTTTGCTTTCATGCTTTCTCGTCTGAATAATTAGCATCTATCAAAATGTTCAAACTAGAAACCTAAGCATGACACTGATTCTTCTGTCTTCCTTATCATCACCTCCCACATCTAAACCATCAACTAGTCATACCAGTGTTACCCCAAACACATTTCAAATCCATCCACTGCTCTCCATTTCTCTGCCACTATCCTAGTTCCGGTCCCCTAACCTTCAATCGCTTCCTTAACTAATTCCCCTCATCTGTTATCGGCTCTTGGCCAAATTCACTCTCTACATAACACTAGAGAGTTTTTCTTGAAATCAAAGTTGGATCATGTCATTTCCCTGCTTCGAATCCTTTAATGGCTTTCCATTGTACTTCAAATGTAATCTGAAAGACTTTCAATGGCCTAGAAACCCTGAATCTGGCCCTTGCTCATCTCTCCAGTCTCATGTGGTACTGTTCTCTTCACTAATGTCTTATTTCTCAAATTCCCTGGCTCTTTCCAACCTCAGGACTTTTGTGCATGCTATTTCCTCATCCGGGAACATGCTGGATCATGTTCACCCTACATCTTTCAATTTAAATGTCACTATGTGGACAGCCCCTGCTGACCGTGCCCAGGACCCATTATTCTTCAGCTCAGACTATTTGCCTGTGTACATGTTTATTGCCCTCACTTAACTCTTAAGTTCCTTGAGAGCAGGAACTATGGCAGTTTAGCCCATCAGTGTATCCCAAGCACCTATTAATGTACCTGAAAAAGCAGAGACTCAATAAATATTCACTGAATTTAAAAAGTAAGAAACTGCCAATTTTCAAATCTTGAGATAACACTGAACTACACTTATCTTTGAATCTGTAGTGACACTAATTTAATCTTTATTTTATAATTATTTTTTTCTTAATTTTTTTATTTTTCAATTATAGTTGGCATACAATATTATATTAATTTCAAGTGTACAAC